ATCTCTCCTTTACTATATATTTTGGCGTTGGAACCATTTTTAAGACTATTAAATCAAGAACTAACTGGGATAAATATAAATAGATTTAGGTTTAAACTTTCGGCCTTCGCCGATGATCTAACTGTCGGAATAAGTTCCCTCGATGACTGGAATAAATTCCATGAACTACTAAAATTATATAAATCTGCTTCGAATGCAAAAATAAATACAAATAAATCTAAGCTTGTCCCGTTGACAGATAGTGCATCTCATATGAAGCTGCCAGGCGAAGAAAAGTTTAAAAAACTTAAAGATAAAGAATCTATTAAAATTTTAGGCTTCACTATTGATAAGAGGGGACAACCAGGAGATTTGTGGCAGGAAATGACTCAGGATTTTGAAGAAATTATTAAAATATTAAATAAAGTAAAACCATCAAATGAAAGTAGAATATGTTTTGCGAGATCTTATATCTGGTCCAAAATCTGGTACCCTGCTTCCCTTTTACCTCCCAATAGAGAAGAAATATTGAAATTAAGTGATTTAATAACACAATGGATTAATGTAGAATCTTCATTAAATGATATTGAAATTCCAACGCTTGAAAATATATTAGATGCTAGATTTGTATTAATCTGGATAAAACTATTAACCACCAATAATTTATGGGCAAATATAGAGAGGAGTTTAATAGAATCAAAATTAAAAATGAATAACCAATCTATAACGACACTCACTACTCAATCAGTCGATCTTTTGCCTTCAAATTGGAAATTATATTTTTCAGCTTGGAAAAGACTAAATGGGAAAGTATTATCAACTGACTCTTGGCCGTGGTGTCCGAGTTTAATCGAGGTAGCAAACTGTAAAGGAGATGAATATAAAATAGAAAATGCAGTAAAGTATTTGGGAAAGCAATAAATACAATTAATGATGTATTTAATGTGTGCATTAAAATTAGGAAAACTACTATTTCCACCATATTAATTTGCTATTTCCACCATACGGCCAGAATTAGAATTAGGGTTAGGGTGAATTAC